GCACTGCCTATTTCTCCCTTGTGTGCACTAACAAATTTTATCACCCTAACGCACGTAGTAAACCTGTGAGCGTACCTTATATATGAGTATAATGGTATGGTATAGGACCTAGTATACCTATTTTAGAATACTTGCTCAGTTGCTCTACTATCATACAGTAACGCAGGTGATAAACTGATCACAAAGGATATTTTCTTTTCTTTTTTCCTTTATGAGGAAGCAAATAACTGAAGGTTGCGACAGTTTTTATTTCCCAGTTCTCAATCTCCAAGAATAACTTGCGTATCAAAAGATACATATCAACATTTACAGATAATTCATTAAATCAACTTACAGGACATAACTTCTTCACATTCTGTGCCGCTTTCCTCAGATTGTCGAGGGTCTCCTGATGATAAGTAGCATCCTTCCAAGAGAAATCAAACCGCGCAACTGCAAAAATGAAAACAAACACAGATCATGATGATAATTATTATCATCAGAACAAAAGCAGAAAAATCATGACTGGCCCATTGCAATAAATCCAGCTGTTTAAAAGAAAACTGTCGTTAAACCTGACATCCCAGCAGTGAGGCATTCTTCAATCACTTCGACTGAGTGCGAGTTGGGCCCAAGCGTCCCAACAATCTTAGTGAGGGATGGGAAAACTTTCTGCAAAAGAGCACAGGCAATGTATAAGGGTCGCCATCCAGCGTCCTGAAAATGAAACCAAAACTGTCTCCATTTCGTTGCCTCCCACTTGCCAATAGAGGATTCGATTTGCAATTAGAAAATCAGACGACCTTCACAAAATCATAACGGCACATTTTGGTCGCACGCAACAGTAAAAAAACAAAACAAATCCCCAATCCCGCACGATCGCTCCCGTTGGAGACACGGGTCATTCACATTCTGACGAAACAGGTCACCGGTATTTCCGCCACGCCCGCTCGCCCCGGCCTCTCTGCACACCAAATCGGATCGAGACAACCAAACACACACACACATACTGTACATGGTGAACCACATCCAGAGGAAGAAGCCCGAATCCACCCACAAGCACCACGGATACGCAGAGTTCGAGATCGGTAGAGGGAGGAGGGGAGAAATGGTGGAGGTGAGAGGCGCTTACAGGCTTGGCGGGGGCGAGGACGGAGGCGAGGCGGACGGGCTCCTCGAGGAGCATGTGGTTGCCGCCCTGCATCTCCTCCGGGGGCGGAAGGTCGCGGTAGGCTTGGGAGGGATCTGCCTAGGGTTTTGCCTCCCTCGGATGTGACGCGATGCGATCGAGTCTAGCTCCGAGCGGGCAAAGCGAGAGGAAGACGAGGCGGGGCCGCGAGGGGAGGGGAGGAGAGGAGATCGAGAGCGAGGCGTGGGGAGAAAGAAAGGAAAAAAGAACTGCAGACGTGGCATTTCGATCTCGTTTTGTTTAATGAAACAACTGTTGACGGTTTGAAGCGACAAAATGTGGCGTTGATGACAAGGGTGGGCCCTCGCGGAAGGGCCTTAGGGCATATACAATGGTGCTATCTTAGGAGTGCTACATAGGATAAATGATAAGGTGGAGGAGAGAGAACTCATAAAAAAAGGTTTGTCTTCTCTTATTTAAGATAAGACAAGAGATGATCTCTTAGCACAATTTGTCTCACCATGTTTTAAGGAATTGCTAGTTATTGAAGATAAGGCTAAGATATAACTCATTGTAGACATATTTTTTTATCATCTTTAATTTACATGCAAGATTTAAGATAAGACTGTCTTATCAACCATTGTACATGCCCTTAGGCTGGTGGTAACGGCGATACTAGTACTCCCTCCATTCCAAAATATAGTGCGCTCACGCTTCTCGAGGTCTAACTTTGACCATAAATTTAACCAACAAGACCAACTGCGGCGGGAGAAAAAATTATATAATTGAAAACTTCTTTCGAATACGAATCCACTAATATAATTTTTGCTCCCGCCGCAATCGGTCTTGGTAGTTAAATTTACGGTCAAAGTTGAAGCACGGAGATAGAGGAAGCACTACATTGTGGAATGGAGGGAGTATATGATACTACTCCCTCCGTTCCTAGATACTTGTCTTTCTAGGCATTTCAACAAGTGACTACATACGAAGCAAAATGAGTGAATTTACACTCTAAAATATGTCTACATACATCCGTATGTAGTAGTCATTTGAAATGTCTAAAAAGACAAATATTTAGGAATGGAGGGAGTACATCCGTAGTGTATAGTATCATAGCTAACCTCATTTTTTTGTGAGGGTGAAGGGAGTTTATTAAAGAGTTATAGAGTTACAGTCGAGAGGCCACAAGTCCTCAATACAAGGTGGAACCGAGCGCAGCCAGACAGCCGTGGCACGCTCGGTGCGGCTATACTTAGCCAACCGATCGGCAACTCTATTTTGAAGTCTAGTAATCTTTTGAGGAAAAAACTCCCTGGTACCAAGAAGTGCTTTGATCTCCATGACGACCTGTCCATACGCCGAATGAATAAGTGCATCATTTGTGAAGCTAGACAAAACTTCAGACGAGTCCGTCTGAACCACCACCGGCAAGTCAGAGTGTTGTAGTGCTAAGGCCAAACCTTGCATGATCGCATGTAGTTCTGCTTCCAGCGGGTCATTGCAATAGAAGATGAAACGGTAGGCAGCCATTAGGACATCTCCTTTGTCATTTCTAAGCACCATACCAACAGCAGTAGATCCATCCTCCTTCAGGAACGAGCCATCAACTGATAGAGCCACCCTACCTGGCTGAGGCACCGGCCATGGAGACGATATGACCCTGCCCTTTTGGTCTGGTATCGGCATCTCCCGGTTGACATTTTTCCTTTAATGATCTCCTCCGTAGTGTAGCATGCAGCCAGCTTAATGGACTTGTAGTAACTGTTGTCAAGGAATTTGACAGGGGCTGGAATAGGAGGGATCTCCTTCCCATGGATCAGGTCGTTACGTAGCTGCCAAATCCGCCAAATAAACATAAGTAGCATGTCCTGGACATCGGTCGAGCACTTCACCAGTAAAGTAGTTAACCATTCTCTCCCATCATGGATTAAGAAATCATCCTCCGGGAGTGGCCAGCGGTAGGCATGTTAATCCAGAGCAAACGTGCATGTGAGCAAGTCACCAAGGCATGAAATGAGTCCTCCTCCTCCACCCCACAAATCTGACAGGTTGATCGTGTCGTCAGATGTCTGTATGCCTTGCAACTCTGCGTTGCCAAAGTCCCCGTCACACATCTCCATGTGTTGATCTTCATTTTCTGAGGAACCCTAGACTTCCAGATGTAGTTCCATCCTGACCGGTTCCCATCTGGGGCAGTACTCGAGGCACCATTTGTTGTAATAACATTGTGATCATATGTAGCCAGCTTGTATGCACTCCTCACCGTAAACCCCCCACTCTTTTCCGGGAACCAGGCCAAAAAGTCCTCACGTTGGCGAGGCGAAGTTCTCATTCTCAGGATGTGATCAACATCCATTTGCCAAAAGAACTCCCTCAGCCGAGTCTGATTCCATGCACCATTATCATCCAAAAAGTCAGAGACTCTGTTAAAATGACAGTTTCCCTTAGGAGTTATCGGACGGAAGGAAAACGGCCGGGGCAGCCAAGGGTCGCGCCAGGTGCGGATCATCATGCCTTTACCGACCCGCCAGATGACGCCTTTCTTGACCAACGCAAGGCCATGTAGAATACCTTTCCATACCTCAGAACCAGAGCCCGGGAACACCATATCCAAAAACTGACCAGAAGGATAGTATTTTGCCTTCATCAACCGCGCACATAGGCTATCTGGTCTATCCAGGAGCCTCCAGGCTTGCTTAGCTAGTAGCGCTTGGTTAAACGCCCTCATATCCCTAAACCCCATGCCCCCCATGGGTTTAGGCAGACACAGCCTATCCCAGCTCATCCATGCCATCTTCTTCTTGCCGTTCTCTACCCCCACCAATACTGACGTATCATCCTTGTAAGATCATCACAAATAGAAGCCGGGAGTTTGAAGACACTCATTACATATGCTGGTATGGCCTGTGCCACTGACTTAATAAGAATCTCCTTGTTCCCCGACGACATGTACTGTTCACTCCAATCCACAAGCACTTTCCTCAAACGCTCTTGGAGAGTCTCAAATTTCCCTTTATGCATCCTCCCCTCCGGAACCGGCAAGCCCAAGTACTTGGGTTCGAACGCTTCTAGGGTGATATCCAGCGTGTGTTTAACTTCCTGAATAATATCCGAACGACACTGGCTTGAGAAAAGAATGGAACACTTCGACGGGTTTATGAGTTGTCCAGTCGCCGTCGCAAATGTGTTCAACACCCCTTTCACTAACAATGTCTGCTGATTTGTAGCATGGAAAAATAGGAGGGAATCATCCGCAAATAATAGGTGCGTAATCACCGGAGCACCCCTACCGATCTTGACTCCACTAAGACCATTCTCCCTTGCAGCCTTTTCCACCAATGCAGAGAGAGCATCAGCCACAAATAAGAAGAGAAAAGGAGATAAAGGATCACCTTGACGGAGGCCCGTCGACGAAGAGAAGGATTCCAGCAGCTTCCCGTTAAATTTTACCGAGTATTTCACCGACGAAACACATGCCATAACTCGAGCAATCCATTCAGGTGAGAAGCCCCACTTGGCCAAGGCTTTTTCCAAGAACACCCAATCCACCCTGTCATAGGCCTTGGAGAGATCAAGTTTGTAAGCACAAAGATCCTCTGCACTGTTCCTTATTGACTGGATATGATGAATACATTCAAACGCAATAATAGAGTTATCAGAAATCAGCCTCCCCGGGATGAAGGTGCTCTGATTTTCAGAGATGAGATCATTAAGAATAGGCCGTAATCTGTTGACCATGCATTTTGAGATGATCTTGTATATAACATTGCACAAGCTTATTGGCCTAAAATCTTTCAGGTCCTTGGGATGAGGAACCTTAGGAATTAGCACAATAGCCGTATCGTTAACATCATCCGGCATAACTCCAGACGCAAAAAACTCATGAACCGCAGCAACAATTTCAGTTTTGGGTAGAGCCCAATTCCGTTGGAAAAACCTAGCAGGTAGTCCATCGCGACCCGGAGCTTTGAGGGGCCCGATCTGAAATAAAGCATTAGAGATCTCCTCTTCGGAATAAGGCCTGCATAACATAATGTTCATCTCCTTTGTAACTTTTGGAGCAATGCAATCCAACACCTCGTCCGGGGATAGGGTTGGATCTTTTGTGAAGATCTCCTTAAAATAGGAGTGAGCCATCCTCTCCATATCTGATGGAACACTGCACCACGTTCCATCCTGCATCCGTAGGTGTTGTATCAGGTTCCTACGGGCCCGCCAAACCGCTCTCCGATGCAAATATTTGGTGTTGCGCTCACCTTCCTTCAGCCAGGTGATCCGCGACCGTTGTAGCCATATCATCTCCTCTCTGTATAGGAGCTCATCGAGCTGGTTCATTTTATCCTGGACTGTAGTACGGTCTGCTCCAGCCATCTGAAGGTCTGTCAGTTGTGTGCGGAGCCTCTCAATATCCTTCAACACATTGCCAAACTGGTTTTTACTCCATTCTTTCATATCCTTTAAAACCTCCCGGAGGGACTTGGCCACCGACCCCATGCTGCCTGTAGTTTTGTGTTTGTTCCATGCATCCGCAATCACTTGAGGCAGGCCAGAATCACGTTCCCGCATAATTTCATAACGCAAGGAGGAGGGTCGACGCTGCTGGTCCTGCAAACCCTCCAAGTGTATCAACAGGGGGCAATGATCCGAACATGAGGTGGCCAAATGAACCACCCTTGCTAACGGGAACGTATCCCGCCAGGCTTCATCAGCACAAGCACGATCCAACCGCACTTTAACATTACGGTCAGAGTCCTGGCCATTGTTATACGTGAATGGAATCCCCGAGAAGCCTAGGTCTTCGAGTTCACACACCTCCAAACAATCTCTGAAGGCCACCATCTAAGCTTCCGAGCGTTCTGTCCTTGATAGATGTTCATGTTGCCACAAAGCTTCATTGAAGTCGCCGCACACCATCCACGGCTCGCGCGAGAAAGCTCGAAGCCGGAAGATGTGCTCCCACATACGATAGCGGTTTTCCACCCTGGGCTCTCCATAGACAAAGGTGCACCGCCAAGATGTGCCTGATCCACCATCGACCACACTGACATCAATATAACGATTACAAGAATCATTCA